ATATATATATATATTCAGTACCCGTTTATTTAATATTATTATGATATGATTTTTATAATGGGGAAGGTTGAATGGTATATTTATTTTATATTACAAAATATAATCACTAAATTAAAAAAATTACATATTACATGATATAAATATCAAAACTCATTTAAATCTTAAACAAGTATTTTTTTATATATAAATTTCACAAATTATATATATTTGAATTGAGTGTCAATAAGACTAGTGAGACTAATTTAATGATTGATAAATTGTAATTTTAAAATAATTTTAATTGTTTTAACATGTAATAACCTAATACTAGTAAGTATCTTATAGTAACTAATATTATGTTGACAAACAGTTATTATTGCATGTTAGTCTTAACCTATTCATGACTAGTTAGGTGGCTATGCCTTGACATTGTTTTTACACCATGAAATAGAACTTACCTAACTAATTAACCAGACACCTCCCATTGAACCACAGGTGTGTCATAGAATAAACAAATGAACATGTTTTGAAAATTGTGTGTTTTGCGATTTGTTACTTAATGATTAAGTAAATTAAATATTCCAAGAACATTCCTATAAAAAGTCAACCCTTGAAAAAATGTTTTAATAACAATGGCATCTCCCAATTATAATAATAATAATAATAATTATTATTATTATTATTATTGTGATTCTCACACTCCCATAATCCCATTGTTACCTCCAAAAGTTAGGCAATCCTATGAAAGGGTCAAATCGTTAGTTGAATGGTTTAAAAAATGAAGCAGCTAATGAAGGGTTTCCACATAGCATGCTCATCCATCAAATCTCAATGACATTTGCCTAACAGTAACTTTATATAGATCAAATCTCAATTTCATATAATATGATATGAAGATATAAATGAATATGATAAGGGGTTTTGGAGCAATGGTGTTGTTTCACATGGTCTTGGGCTTGCTCATGTCGGAACAGGAGAAACAGGGCCCACTTCAGCACCTCAAAACCCATTGTTTTCGTTTATAATCAAATGGTGTCAAAATTGATTTGCGTTGCTTAATTGTATTCTACTCAAACCAACAATGCCGGCGATTATTACTACTTTAATTGGATTTCAGTTTTCATGTTCAACATTCATAAATTTCATTTCTCTAAAATTATTTTGTTCCATGTAAGAAAAACGAGCATGAAATGACCATTATATTAGATGAAATTAGAACTCAGAAATAATTATTTAGTTGTTATAATCTTAGTTGTTGGCACAGTTAGAATTTGAAATAATCCTACGAAATCCTAAACCAATACACCCCCCTAAATCATTATTGTCTATGAAATATATGAATGAGATGTACAATTTTGAAATAGTCTATATTCATAATAAATTTGTTGTTATTAGTACTGATTTTATATATTGTTTTTAATAAATTGATTAATTTTTGTATTAATTTTTTTTTTATTTTTATAATTAACATTTATCTATAAAAAAAAAATTTGACGGAAAAGAGTTGAAAATTTTGAAGGAAAGAAAGTTGTTGTAGAACTTCTTTCCCTTATATTATTAATTTTTATAATTAACATTTATATAAAAAAGTTTTTTGAGGGAGTTTTTAGGGATGAGAGTTGAGAGTTTTTGAGGAAAGGAAATTATTACAAAATTTATTCTCTTTATATTATTAATAGCACTATAAAAAATGTTACATATAATGACATACAAAAAATGTCACTATAGGTATAATATATGTAGGTATATATCTATTTGACATATAGCTACATACAATTTTAGTGTTGATTTTGAATAAGATTTAATAACATATTTTGTGTCACTATAGTCTATACATACACTTTTTTAACAATATACCAACATATATTATATTTATTGTGTGGGTAAAAGTAACTTTTAGTGACACATATTGTGTCACTATGTGACAATTTTCTTATAGTGTAGATAAATATCTCCCAGGTATGAAATTATTATGAAAATATTGATCTAATTGATGAGATGGATAAATGCAAATATAATGATTGTGGAAAATTGTATATATATAATGTTATTAGGTATTTCATGATGGTATATAATATTATTAATTAATCACGTTATAATTTTTTTCAATTGTAAAAAGATAGATTTAATTTTTCAATTTTTTTTTTCAATTAGGCCAATTTGACTTAATGAATAAACATGAATCAGGTTGGACCAAAAAAATGGTAGCCAAAGAAAACATAGTTAAAATCAATGTAGCATAAAATAACATTTGGCCTCCATAAATCAAGTTGGGTTAAGTCGATTTGATCCATTTGACATCTTTATTTGTGAGTTTTCATTTATTATAATTGTAATGTTGTTTGTACTTTGAATTATGTTATTTTATTTGAGTATCTTTCTTTCTTTTGTTATTTTTTTATTGTTTAAGTTTTTTAATATTTTTATTTATTAATTATTTAACTCGATGACTAAACTTGATCATACCCAATTAAATTAATCAAGAAGTTGGATATAAATGGTTAATGTGCTGAACCTAAAATCAAATTATTTGAACAATATCTAAGTATAATCTTTAGTGAAAACAACCTTTAACCATACTACTTACTTTCTGATTGAACAAATTTAAGGCAAAACCTTAAACACTAATAAACACTAATATAAGAAAACCAATTAAATTATATTGTATAAGAAAATGTGAAATATAACCCAACTCAATTAATTTTAATTGGATCGAGTATAAAAATATTTCAAATTCAACTCAGTTAACAAAGTAACGATTCCTTAAATTAGAAAATAAATTAAATATAACAACGTGTTCAGTTATTTGACCAATTTTATTAAAGTAAGCATATCACCACAACGTATGTCAACTTGTTCAGTTATTTGACTAATTTTATTAAAATAAGCATATTACCACTGAATAAGTCGTTATTTTTTTTTCTTTGTTTAAGAAAATAAAAAAAAAAAGTAATAGATACAAAAGAGAGGCCATTTATTTCCATTTTTCTAAACTATCCTTTTCTCCTTGTCAGTTGAGGAAAAGTTGCAAAAAAAAAAAAATTGTACACAATTAAAACTTATTTCTTTTATTTTTCTATTATAAGCAAAAAAATATTTAAATATAAACAAATTTTGAATTACTTTTTTCTCATTTATTTGTTTAAAATACCACTCTATTTAATATATGACTTTTTAGTTACATTAATTTATTTAACATTTATAATAAAGATAAATTTAAATCCAATAAAATTTTATTAATATGTGTAAAATTAATTTTTTTAATAATAATATCTAGTAGCAGTAATTGAGAATGTAAGTAAAAAAGTAAAAAGTCATTGAGGAAAAGTGTCCGTCAAATTATCATGGCTGCTTCCAATGACTTTATGCCACATCATCAAAAGTGCTGACATGGAAAAGAGGGGATGCACGCAATGTGCGTGCTAAAAGAAAATCTAATGGAGGCCACAAGAATTTGTGGCTAAGAATCGAAACCTAGGTCTGATGTGGCACCTGACTATGCTTTAAAAGGATCAAAATCCTATTGGTCCTGCCTCCACTCACACTTTACGTCAAAACCAACACAAACTCAGTAACGCAGTCACTGCAGAAACAAAAACAAAAAAAAGAAATATGCACGCAAATGGAGACCCTGCAATTAGGCTCTTCGGCCAGAAGATCCCACTCACAGGAGATGCTGACAAACATGACCATAGAGACCAACCAGACAAGGTCTAATTTATTTTACCAAGCAACCATACCCTTTCTATGAAAAATTCACTATCTTTTTTATTTCCATTCAATACTTGTATTATGAATGTTCCCTTTTGAGAGATTTCTTGTCAATTTCCAAGCTTCATTTTTTAAAATTAGTAACTCAGACAATTTTGAAAAAAATATATATTTTCTACCTTGCAATTCTAAAAGTGACTATTTTTATTGACAAGCTTATGGGTTTTGTACTTTTGGTAACCTTGCCAAGGAATTGGAGGAAAAAGAAGATTTATTTTTCTCCATTCATTAACTTTTCTGGTGTTCTGCGTTTGTTGATTGTGATCAATTCTGTTATCTTGTTTTTGCGGATGTTTTAGTGGTGATCACAACAGTCTATCGAACGATTTGAGTCAACTCTGTCCGTGGAACAGGAGCATCACTGTTTCTTTTCACATCAACGTGTTTTATTGTTTCAACTCTCGTGACATGGTTCTGCTTACAACCAGTGTTTTCTGTCCGTCGGTAGCCCTTACTCCCACCCAAATCTCTCTGTGCCTGATCTTATTTTCCTCTTTGTACCTTTGTTTTTAAATCAAGTGTTTTCATAGCCTTTGAAATATTGCTGTCTTCTGGAATGTGTCTGAAAGAAAAGAGTACTAATTTAATTTATGCTGTTGTGGAGTATGACAAAATGCTTTTTTATATGGCTTGTTTGAATGATATAGTTTTCATTCTATCAAATTAAACATATTCTGCATGCATAGATACTAACATAAGGATCGTTTTGAGTTTCCACTAAGAAAAATGAATATACTTTTGAAGTTGGGTATGTGTTTGTTATTCTTTTTTATTTGGTTTTTTTATGCAATATGTCTTCAAAAAGAAAATGTTCTAACTTCTTTATTACGTTCTAATTGTCATTTCAACTATAAAAAATTGTGAATATATATCTTGGTTTTATTTCTGATATATTCTGATTCATTGACTTCAATAAGCAAAACATGTTTTCTAATTACTAGGATGCTGGAGTTGAAAATGTTACCGAGGAAGAGCTGGAAGCTGATCCTCTTACAAATGCTGAAGAGGCTAAGGATTCGGGAACATCCCTTGAGGCTATCGTGAACCTGGAAACACCCTCCACAGAAGAAGAAGCTGCAAAATCAAAAGGTGAGAAGCCAGAGAAGGAAGAAAGCGATGCAGATGAGAAAACACTGAAGAAGCCGGACAAAGTGCTACCATGCCCCCGCTGCAATAGCATGGACACCAAATTCTGCTATTACAACAACTACAACATCAACCAGCCGCGTTATTTCTGCAAAGCTTGTCAAAGATACTGGACTGCAGGTGGCACCATGAGGAATGTTCCTGTGGGGGCAGGAAGGCGCAAGACCAAGAACTCTTCCTCACATTATCGCCACATCACCATCTCTGAGGCCCTTCAAGCAGCTAGAATTGATGCTTCTAATGGAACTTATATTCCAACTTTGAAAAGCAATGGTGGAGTCCTCAGCTTTGGACTAGATGCACCTATTTGTGATTCCATGGCATCTGTCCTCAATCTTGGAGATAAAAAGCCTCTTAATGGCACAAGAAATGGCTTTGAGAATCAAAGACTCTCATTAACTTGCAAAAGTGGTGAAAAAGGTGATGGCTCTTCAACAAGTACCATGGGAGAAAGTAACAAAAGCACCTTCCAACAACAACCAGTGCTCCAAAATCACGGTTTACTTACTCAACTTCCTTGTATTCCTGGTGTTCCTTGGCCCCATGCATGGAATTCTCCACTTCCCTCACCAGCTTTGTGTCCTTCAGGATTACCCCTACCATTCTATCCTGCTACATTTTGGAACCCTGGCATGCCAGGGAATTGGAATGTTCCATGGTTTCCCCCACATTCACCTGCTTCAAACCCAAACTCTCCAAACTCTGGTCCAAACTCTCCAACTTTAGGGAAGCACTCTAGGGAGGGTGACATGATTAAGCAAGACTCTTTGCAGAAAGAAGAGACTTCAAAACCAAGAAACGGGTCGGTTTTGGTTCCCAAAACCTTAAGAATTGATGATCCAAGTGATGCTGCAAAGAGTTCAATATGGGAAACTCTAGGAATTAAGAATGAGTCGGTGAGTGGAGGAAGTATGTTTAAGGCCTTCCAACCAAAGAAGGATGAAAAGAATCATGTTGAAGCCTCTCCAGTGCTGATGGCTAACCCTGCAGCTTTGTCTAGATCACTTAATTTTCATGAGAACTCATGAGTTAGTGTCTCTGTTGAAAAGTTCTTACAGCAACAAGGTTAATAACTTATTGTCTAGCTAGCAAGAGATGGTGTTGGAGGAAGCGAAAGGGTGGTATAGTCTATGATTTCTTCAACACAAATAGAAAGACCAGGACTAATTTTGTCTTTATTTTCATTTGATACCGTGAATAGAATATATAGGTTCTTTTTCATATGCTTTGTTTGTTGAGTTCGAGTTCATGTACATGTATAAAAATACATGTGAAATAGTGGTTTTTAACCTATATATAGATGCAAAAAGATCTTTTATTTTGTTTTAAAATCTAGACGTTTAGGTGCTTCGTAGAAAAGTGAATGATTTTCTTTACATGACTTGTGAGTATTCCTTTCTCCATGTATATGAACTACTCAGAGGGGTATTTGCTATCTAGAAAGTGTGGATATAAAATTACGGAACTAGCTAGAAAGATAAGCACAAGCAATACGATGATGGAAATAATGATAGGACAGTCTTGTCATACTCGTACGTGATACATGTCATGTGCTTTTGATGCGATGCCAAATACATATCAGTATGCTTTGGGTGTGCAGTAATATATTTTGGATATATATGGTTTGTATCATCTCTACGTAACTAATATGACAATATCACATTCCAGAATGAAAAAGTAGATTTTACACTATTAATAATCGGTCCTATTATAACATAACAGGATCTTTATATCCTTATTTTGTTAGAGTTTAATAACTCTGAACGGCTGCAAATTTAAAATAGATTTTTACGTTAACCAATTCAAAATTAGATATGATTTTTAATTAATTTACGTAAAAGTCAATAAATTATTTTTATTGAATGTTATATGTAGATAAAAAAAATTTCTTCTATTTCTTATCCTTGTTTATATCCTGCAAATTTATTTACACATGTGAAAGATAAATATTTGTCTCACTCTGGATTCTAGTTCAACGTGGTGTAAATGTTGATACAAACACAACTAGACTAGTGAAAAAATAAATGGAATATATCAATGATATTGACATTGACTTAGTTGGAGGATAAACTGCACATAATATATTTTATTTATTTTTTTCCGATAAACTTGCATATTATAGCTTTGTTTTAATCCTCGTCGAAAGTGATTATTTCCAAGAAATAAATATTTTATTTTAAGTTCTCTCTTAAAGTGACAAGAAGAGTCATTTCTTTACAATAAAACTAATTAAATACATACTAAAATATATTGAATAATTCTCTTGGACAGGATGAGGAATCTAACTCAGCCAGGAACGTTAAATCTGAACCACTAGAATAATTTTTCAAGATTTTTTTCTTGGTCTTTTATATTTCTAAAATTAAAATAAGAAAAAAAACAATACTTCAAGCTAATTTAACATATTTATCTTAGCTAATACCAAATAATCATTAGATGAAAATTTTTAATTAGCACATATCATAGTTTGTAATAACTATTTTTCACGTTTAATCTAAATCATGCATTCTATTAATATTTAAATTAGATAATTACATGTTAGCCTCTACAATATTTTCTTAAGCAGCAATATGGTAGTTACATCCGAATTGGCCCGACATGTGTCCTTGATGAATAACACAGAAAATATGCAGATATTTTCCTAGCTTCAATCTAATACAAGCCACATTTAGGGATATAAGATGAGTTGTGAATTGTGAATTGTGAATTATGATGGGACCCTAATGCTAGTTAAAACTACAAGTCTTAGATCCTTTTCCTGACTCTCTTTTTTCCTTTCTTTTTTCTTTTCCCTTTTGCCCTTTTCCTCGGCAAAACCATGAAAGCAATAGCTCTTTTATTTTCCTCCATATGTCAGACCTAAATTTCAATTATGAAGGGAACCAAAAACAATAAATATCGTTGGAACTAAGCGTCCTTGCCAATTTCTAGCCATGATTAATCCAAGCTGCGTTTGGATGGCTTCTGAATACATGTATTTTTCATAATTATTTTGACCTTTTAAAGTTTCTATATTTAATTACAAAAATAAACTCAAAAATTTATCTAAATGCCATCAATTTTCTTTAATTTCAATTGAAAAATCTTTGTTTCCTTAAAAATTAGAATAATACAATCAAACAAGTATTAAATGACTTGATGTACCTTTCATCCATTTGCTCACATTTTTGGGATATTCGTGATATTAAATTGTCTATTGATACTCATTGTACATCATAATTTTCACACGCATATATTTTAATATTGATAAAATATTATCTATTTTAAATCTTCTTTTTTTTTTTTTATAATTTTGTTTTTTTCATCTCCAAAAGACTTGTATATTCATTCATTATTTATGATTTTAATTGTATCCAATAATATTTAGTAATTTTTTTTCAATCTATCCATTTTTTTTTCAGCCGACAGTACCACTCACCCATTCGCTTATCAATCTTCTAAATTATAATCGTTTTTACCTAATTAATTACATGTGTTTTCAAATTAATTCCAACTATAAATTTAAATTAAAATGTGTATTTTCTAAAATACTGAATAAGTCAAAACTGTTAAGAATTTGTTTTATCCATTATATTGTTGTTAGTACTTCACCTTATTTTTAGGAAGAAATGGGTAAGAAATTGGGTGGAGAGAGTGAAAATAAGGGAGTTTATTTAGTTGAAAAGAAATAGAATGAAAAGAAATTAAAAGGTGGTAGACTTCGCCTTATTTATTTTTATTTATTTATTTTTCTCTTTTTTCTCTTATATATTTCTTATTTTTTACCTATTTCTCTTTAATCAAATAACTAAAATTTTGCTTTATTTTCTATCTATTTTTCTTAACTTTTTATTTTTCGTCATTTTATTTCTCACCTATATTTTTCCTCTCAGCCAAACACAATCAAGCTTGAGTTATTACCATATGGTAGTGTCGTTATGCTCCATGAGTTTTAGTTAAATGGAAATCTATTTAAATTGTATGTAGCAGTAGCAGAAGTGTGTCTCAATCTTTACAGTTTCAATAAAATTTTGTTTGTTATTATTCTCTTATTTTGTTTTGTTTCCTTTTTATACGTTACAAGCGATATCTGAGCAAGGTTCAGAAAACCCCATCCAAAACACATTAAAAATGGCCAGCATGCCATTGATGCTTTTGTCCAACCTTCCATTCCTAACTTTGATGGATATCATTATGATCACTGGAGCATGTTAATGAGAACTTTGTCAAATCTAAGTTAATATTGATGGAACATGTTAACTCTTTTTACAGTGTTTCATCTTTCAGCGACTGTATTTGACAGCATTTAGAACAAGATTCTTCTCAAATAATAATACATATAGAAAAGCAAAAAACATATACTACATTTTGTTTGAGTTTGGAGAGTACTAGAACATACTATAATTTTTTTTGTTCGTCAATTTTGAGAGCATTAGAACAAATTATTCAATAACACAATTATTTTAGATCTATCAATATTTTAAATATTATATTAATCATCTAATCGATTCGAGTTAAGTCAAGAAGAATTATTATAGATCATAATTTTATATTTCAGAGTTTTTAATATATTTGTATGCTAGAGCGTTTGAACCTAAAATATCAACTAATGCACGCCGAATATTTAATAATAATAACATTAAAAATGATTTTGTGGTCAGTGAAATAAATTTAAGAATGTTTATGGCTTGAATTTATTTTTGTTTTTATCTTGCTTGAATTTCAATACGGTCATTGCTTGAATTCAAATTTGATTTGAGACAGAATTGATAATATTATATAAAATAAGATTAAGCAGTCTATTTGTTGATATAATTTATTAGTTTTAACTTTATATGTAGTTAAAACTACACACATTTCAAAATAAATAACATTTATATAAATATAATATTTTGTTATACAAAATATTACTTATTAAATGAAGATATTTTATTATTAATATATAATTATTAAAAAAAATACTTTTTCTATAAAAAAAAATACAGGATATCAGACTTAGTTTTTTTTTTTTTTTTTACAACGTATATCAGACCAAGTTAAGACACCAAAAATATAACATGAACTCATCTTCAAAAATATATAGAATCTAACTTTTAAAACTCAACTTATAAAAATTAACTTTGAACCTGAAATAACCGGCTATGTGGGACGACTTATCCATACCCATAAATAGATCAAAACTAATTTTAAGAGATCATATAAATAGACCAAAACTAATTTTAAGAGATCATTATATCTTGAAAAAATATTCTCTCACCGGTGATTTTAACTTGAGAAATACCCTTGGTAAGGGAAAATAACTTACAAATTGATAAATGAATATTGCAGCATGACAAATTCGTTCCTCGAGTTTTATTGGCTGAAAGTACTCACACTCGAGTATTATCAAATATGCAATTTATTGACCATGTTTTCCTCTATCTTCGACAATAAGTAATATCCCCTAATAATATCATTTAGGAAGTAGTTATTATATTATATTGCATTATTTCCGGTAAAGAAGAATAATTATAAAGATAAAATTATAAAATTACAATTTTCTTTCATCTATTTATTAACTTTTCTTATTCGATGTAAAATAATTTTACACGATACTTATTTTTATAGAACACAATAAGTAATAAATATTAATATCAACTTGTTAAAAATTCATCCTGCTAAAATCTAAAGCAAATACACAAAAAATATTACACAAGATTCAGACCCCATAAATACTACTAATCATTATGAGAAGTTGACTCCTTTACACGTCCCATTTGACATTAGATTTGTTTAGATTTCTAAAAAATTTCGGTCAATATTAGAAATTGTAGTGTGTTATTAACATTTCTCTATGACTATTAATACATATGAATTTAAATCAAAATGCAACTATCATGTTAAATATACTATCAATCAACAATAATTTGAGATAAAGGGCAGCTATGATATTGTTGAAACAAAAAAGTTTCTACGACGGAATGAATGGATCCTTTTATGGAGTATATGATATATATAAGCCGCGTTCAAATCTTCTCTCTCTCAACATTAAATAGGTAGGCCCTTATTAATGTACATCAAAAGATTAAAAGATACAAGATTTGAATACGACCTTAACATATCAAAATTTGAAGAACACATTCTAGTTGCTATAGAATAGTGGAGTGAACTGTAACGGGTGTGAAGAAAAGAAAAAATGACCTGAACAGGTAAGTGCCAGAACTTGCCATCAAAATCATGCAGCTCAAGAGATTAATGTAGCTACACTTGAACACAAGTATGCAGCTACCTCAGGAATGACAATATCATCACTTTCTTTGCAGTTTTAACTTGTCTGTACACAAGGGAAACCCTAATGATTTGTGAGAATGAA